ACTCGGCAGACACAGCACCCAGAGGCCAGCTCTGGGCTCCCACAGCCAGTGTTCCTTGGAGCTATCTGAAGGAAGGTTGACAGCGAGGAGGGGGAGCTGTCCGCCAACTTAGTGCTGACCTGCCGGGAGTACAGAGGCTTCCAACCACTCGGGCTGCCCAGGAACTTCCAGGCAGTGACTGCGGGTGAGTGGGGATGGCAGTGGGACACGGACCTCTCATCTGGGGATACAAGACAAGCTTCACTGGCCCCACTCAGATCAGTGACAGGAAATGAACAAAGCCAGACATCTTCAGAAGTCAGCACAGACCCAGAGAAGCTACTGTTTGTGAACTGGTTCAGTGCCTCACAGTGTAATACTCAGGAAGATCAGTTACACACTTCTCTGCTCCTGGAGCCAGTTTGAGTTGCAAATAAAGAAGGTGCAATGCCACTAGCAGGTTTAATGAATTTCTAAGGTAAGGCTGACTGTATGTACATGTGGATTCAGTGAAGAGAAATAGCTCTACATCTGGCCCACATAGACTTTAGCTGGGTGGCAATTCTTTCCCTTTAATTATCTGTGGGGCAATTGTTGTATAGGAGACACTGGCCCGGACTAGGAGACAAGATCTGTATTCTCACCTCAGATCTGAACCAGAGTATCTGACAGACCATGAGCAAGTTGCTTTGCTAAAAGTCTATGGCATCCAATCCAGAAACTGGCTGGAAACCATTACAGCACAAAGCATTGGAAATAAACCTGAAGTGCCTAGCAGAAGGCCTGGGCCGCAGTGTGCTCACAGAGAGACGCGGAGTCTCTGCTACCTTGCTAATTGGCTTCCAGCTGAAGCATCTAGTTTGAAAAGAAAGGTAGAGGAGGGAAGAGTGGGAGTGGTTGTTAATGGGGCTTCATTAGAAGAAGTTGGGCAAGCAAATGTGACATCAGAATAGAGTAAATGGGTCCACCTCATTTCTCACCAGCTCTGAGCTCCTGGGTTTCTAATTAACCCCATTTGAACCTGTTTCCTTTCTTTTTGATGGTGACAATTACATTGTCTCCTGTATATGGGTGCCACGGATATTAAATAAGGCCTGTAGAGTGTCTGGTTCTCAGCAAGTCTCGGATAAATGTTGCCTTGCATTCTGAGTTCCATCAGACAGTGGGGACTCAGCTTCTCCAGGAGATTGCTAGCTGAGACTGCCAGGAAGCTATCTTCCTCTGGCTAGGTATTACCTTTCCCAGCTGGCCGATAGGGGCTGGAATAGCCACCGAGATTCAGGAGTGGCAAAGGCTTTATCTAGTGAGCCAGTTTTTCTCTCTGATAATGGACAAGTGAACCAGAAATTTGATGGCCTGCTGAAGAACTGTTAAATTGATTCTTACCCAGCTTGAGGGCCGGGCCGGGGTGGTGCTCATAAACAGCCTGTCTTGGGAGGGACCACCAGCCTGATCTGGTAGTGGAGAAGGGAGAGCACTGAGTAGTGTGTCAGGACTGGTCATCCTCTCACCAACCACACATTCTTATGCAGAGAATGGCAACAACAACAACAACAACAACAGAAACCCCAGAGTCTCAGTGTCTTTATCTGTACAACAAGCGCTCCAGATTTTATAGGGATTGTGTGAGGCAATAGTTGTATAAATGCTCTGAAAACTGAAAGCAGCTGTTGGGCCCACAAAGTGAGGCTGCCAGCGAGGGATGTACCATCAGGACCAATGCTTCCAAATGCTCCAGTTCATAGGAGCCATCATCTCCATGGGCCTGACTTAGGTAGTCTGGGCTTCCTTCTTAAGGGACGGTCTTCTGCTTCACAACACAACTCTGTGAGGTTCCAGGCTTTGGACCTTAGGTGTCTGCTCTGGCACCTCCTTCTGCATGGAAGGTCAGGTCTTTGGGCCAGCACCTCACCTTACAGATCCAGAGCCCTTTGACTCCTCAAAGGCATGTGCTGTCTGTATCCATAGCACTTCTATGGGACCTCTCTTGGGCACTGGTGCCATTCTAGTTCTGCTTGAATTTATATCAATATTTTATCTCTTTCTAAAGGCAGCTATAGAAAAGTCTACTGCAGTTAGGTGTGCGTGTCTGTCTGTGTGTGTGTGTGTGTGCATGTGCGTGTGTGCACGTGTGTAACAAAGATAGTGGCACAGTGGGAAAATGTGGGCTTTCATATCCAGTAGATATGGATTTGAAATCAATTCATTTTATTCTATTTGTTGGTGCCCACTTGGAGTGCCCTGGAACAAACTATTGGACTTACAAGGTCTCAGCTCCTCCATTTGTCAAGAAGGAATCATGGTATTTACACTGGGGAGTTGCCACAAGGGTTAACAATGACATGTGCCTCTGTGTCTTCCTGTTGTTAAGTCTCCCTCAGGGCCCAGTTACAGCATTTAATGACTCATATCAATGCTGTCACCAACATTCCATCACTGCTGACTTCTCTGCAGCTCCAAGAAGCATATGCTTTGCAGACCTAGACAGGGTGTGTTTCTTAGGCAGGCACACACCTGGCCTTGTTATCCCTGGTCGATGAGTTGGGTTCTTGAAGATCAATGATCAAATGGTGTCTCCGAATGTATTGAATGATACCCTTACTCCACAAATCATGCTTGATCACCTAATTCCAGCACCTATCTAACTATGAGGGGGCAGTTTGGGGGAGAAAGGGACACACACAAGTGAATGCCTCAGTCTGATTCCATAATATCAAGTGAAGAGGCGTAGCTAACCCTGAATCCTGTAGGCCACACAAGGGGACCATGATATGCAGAAAGAGCTAGCCTTCTGCTGTGTCCTCCTCTGGGAAGCAAAGCTCCACACATTGTTCTGTATACTGCTCACCACAGCCCTGAAAGCCAGATGAGGGAGCCGAGGTCAGAGAGGTGAAGGAGATTGCCCAGGGTCCAGTAAAGTCAGTGAGTGCTGGAAATGTTTAATCACAGGCTTAGAGGGGAGGAATCCCTGATTTGTGGTACTTTCTGATGTCTGGTTCTAAGTTCCCCTGGCACGGCCTATTTCAAGCTGGCGGTGTGCTGACTGCGAAGTAGGGCAGGGGAAAATGCTCAGGAAGTTTTCCTCGGAGCCAATACAACTTGGCTCCAGCGCTCTGCCGTACACAGTGTTCCTTCACTCAAGTAACTGTTCATGAGCATCACCCGTGGAAGGGCAGAGGCACGAGAACACTGTTCCATGAGCTGTAAAGTGTACTTGGTGCTAAGTGCAGAGAGATAATTATGATGAGACTTCTGCCTTCCAGTGGGAGACCCAACTGCTTCCTGAGGGACAGTGCCCTTGCTTGGCTTACTTATTCCAGTGGTTATGTTCAGTCACCACAAACACTAGGACAGAGCTGTATGTGCACCGTCGCAACTCAAACTGGCTGCCTCATCAAACCCAGAATGGGTGCGGGTGTGGACCTCATTGCTGACAGAGGCCACAGCTGGAACGCGAGCCTGGCAATGCTGAGCACCAGCCATGCTGGGGCTGCTCCCGAGGGTGGACGTGGACAGGCTGGCCTGCCCAGCCAGGAGCACTAGGGGTCAGCCTCTCCTGCTTTGGGGATGACAAGGGACTTCCAGTGAGTCTCTGAGTCCCTCAGGCAGGTCTGAGGATTCCACTGAAGCCCTGGCTAGCACAGTAGCTGTCTTGGGGACAGACTGGGGAGGCCTGGCAGACATCCAGGCCCACGGCCATGCAAGGCAGAGATGTGGGCTCCTTCCCTTGTCCATCAAAGGAGTCCGCCTAAACTCCCAGCTCAGCCCAGAGAGGGGCAACAGCATCCCTGGGAAGCTCTACTGTACGACTGATAGGCTAGAACATCCCCCAGAGGGGGTCAAGGCCGGGCCAGCTGCTGCTCAGCCTGGGGCAGGTGGCATGAAGGTGTAAAGGGCTCAGGCATCTCTCCTTTTCCCCAGCCAGACCCTCTTGACTGTCTCTGACACTCTCAGGGCAGCACTGAAAAGGAATCGGAGGAGGAGGCACAGGGAGCCAATCACTCGGCACAGAGTCCTCAGGGGCTTGTTCCCTCCAAGTATGTCAGTGTGTGTGTGTGTGTGTGTGTGTAAGTGTGAGTGTGTGTGAGTGTGTGTGTGTGAGTGTGTGTGTGTGAGTGTGCGTGTCCGCAAGAGCATCAGCAGGGATTTCCGTGACAGAAGCAGCCAGATTCCAAAGAACAAGAGAAGAGGAGGGGGGGAAACAAGGGGAGAGTAGAAAATTGGTGGTGGGGAGACAGACGGAGAGAACAGCAGAGAGAGAGAGAGGGAGGGAGGGAGGGAGAGGGAGAGACAGAGAGAGAGAGGAAAGGAGGAGCTGGAAGGAAGAGCAAGCAAGAAGAGCAGAGCGAGAGGGGGGGAGAGAAAAGGCAGAGCAGGAGGGTGTGCGGAGAGAGGAGACTGAGTGAGGGCGGGAGCAAGCAGAGGCAGAAGCAGAGCCTGACCGGCGCCTGCCAGCAAGGACCCCAGGGCACAGAAGGCTCCAGGTTCAGCAGCGCACTCCGGCGCGCGGCCCAGCGGTGCGGAGTCTGGGTCTTAGAGCGGAGTCCAGGTGCTCGCTAGGGAGG